ATCGTACCCCAGGGTACGTTCGCGTGCATACACCGGGGACATAGACCCTCTCACCAAAATAACCGTCAGAGTTTTCAGTAAAATAATATCATTCTTGGAACGAGTTTACAGACATTTACCAGTGATGTATGTTACTTTCCATTTGTGTAATAATAGATTAGGAGAGTATGAATAGAGATGACGGATTTGTAGATAAATGTTCAGTATTTAGTGTCTGTAAAATATGAAATTTTCCCCCATTTTCCTCCTTAAAGTAGCGGGGATGTCATGATTGTACACGTCATACACCTCAAGTACACCTCAATAAGTGTGGGGGGAATAATATCCCCCCCCCCGCTATCTACGGCCCTGATCACGGAGTTCATGCGCGCGTCTCGTAGTAACCCCGGCTCCCCCTCCGAGTCGGAAGGACCGCATGCGCGTTCCCAAATCTCCGGTAAAGGGTATTTTTCGCGCGACAAAATCCGGCCCAAGAATTGTAAAAATAGGTGGCTGTATTGACTTTTCACGCCGAGATTTCTTTTAAAAAGGGGGGTGTTTTCCCCTCTCTCTTTCATCTTGAATATTAAGACTATCAAATCCGGCTATCAATTCCTGAAATTCCTGCTAGTTTTGAAAGCTCATTCAGATTATTTCATTTGAAAAATAAAAATATTGCCTCCGTAGTTCCCCTCGCTCACTGAACTCTAACACTACGTAGTGTAGACTGGTACCGCGTCGACAGTCCACACGCACACTAACGTCACTGTTATGTTGCATAGTTATATACACACATAGTAAACACAGCTCGTGTGTTATGTCTGTTTATTAAGGTTATAGTCCGGTTTACATTTACACAGCTCGTGTGTTTGATCTCCGTCTAAAAGATGGCTACTCTTGTTCTAACGTGCTTTATACTGTGTCGCCATCTAGTGCACAAACATAATGGAAATAACTAATAAGCTTGAACACAACATTCCTCCTTATCTTAACGAAGAGATTTTCTCTACATACAAAACTTAACTTTTGGAAAGATCTTGACATTTTACAATAGCTAAGATTACCATTCAGGTTACAAATACTTATCAAACTAGTTACTCGTCAGATTGAACTCTCATAACACATTCAAATCTCAAATACAAATTCAACACGCTCTTGTTCAGTACAAATACTAACTGTCAAAATCTAACGTAATTGTCTGTCTCTGATCACTGATGTAATAAAATCACACTATTAACTGCAGCATAACTCTTTCTTCTTGCAAAAAAAAAAATGAAAAATGAGTCTTCGCTCGACTTGACTAAATTACATAAAACAATTGTCAAGAGTTTCCACTGAATTTTCATTCACTGAAGCTAGTTTACCACAGCAACATCAATAACTGGAACCTTCTTAATCACACAGATTTCACATTAGCCCACAACGTAAATCTTTCAAATGTTCAGGCGGTTTTCGCACTCGGCTAGGCCTGGAACCTGCAACGGGCTGGACTGGAGTGGACAACGCTCTCCTGACTGGAGTGGAACCGATTGGTTGGAGATGTCTCGGAGAATCAGGCGTTCTCGTTGGGCATCTAGAAGATTGTGGCGATTCACACTGCGACGGATGTTCAGGGTCTCCACTCTGGATATCGTAATGCTCCTCACTCATCACTGGCATCGGATGATTTCCATGTATACGTTTGAAAATGATGAATTACGAGTATGAGCGATTCACCACGTTGTGCAGTAATCATACTACCTTTCTTGTCACGATTATGCAGGGTCTTGGATCAACGGTGGAGTAAGTTTGTTGCGTCGTTGTTTCCAGTCACACGAATCACAGCCGCAGCCTAAGGAACAACTTTGTGTGTCGTTGCTGTCTGCATAGACTGCATTTTGTGTTTGCTGGCCTCATCATTTTGAGAAATGTTTATGTGGGCAGGTTCACAAATGTGATGTGAAATCACCTCAGGAGTCCGATGTTCATCTTTCGACCTGTCAGAACCTCAAAACGGGGAGATTTTGATGCTTGTATGCGGAGTAGCTCTGTATTGTCGCAAGAATAGCTGTACTCGGTCTTCCAATTGCTGTTCTCTGCAACTGATGATCTAATGTTTCTTATTCAATGTAGCCATGAAACGCTCGGCCTCACCATTGGCCTCTGGCCACAGGGCGTGACTTTCCGATGGTGGAAACCGTATTTCCGAGCAAATCACTGAATTCCCTCCATTGAGGGCGGACCGTTATCGCTTTTTACAGTTGTGGGTATACCTTGTCGTGCAAAAATGTTTCTAATACCGGTAAGACCACCTTAGCGGACGTTGATGAAATTATCTCAACCTCTGGATAACGGCTATACTCATCAATCGCGACCCAGCAGGTAATCACCTGTCGGGAACGGACCGGCAAAGTCCATCGCAATGTTCACCCATGGCGCTGTTGGTAGTGGGGTAGGCTTAATGGGCTCACGCTGAGTGGGACCTGGGTAAGATGCCATACACGGAATGCACGACTTCACAGCTTCTTCTACTTGTTTGTCTATTCCTGGAAACCAGACCTTTTCTCTGATTAGCTGTTTGGTCTTTACTATACCCTGGTGTGACTGATGGGCAATCGCAATGACCTTGTCTTGGAGACTTGCTGGGATGACCAGGCGATGGTCTCTAATAACAACACCGTTACTAATGGAGATCTCATCTCTGAAACAGTTGGTACTGTTTCAAATCACATCCTGCCACCGGCCTGTCTGCACGGCGAGGATTACTTTCTGTAGAATGTCATCTTGCTGTGTTGCAACTCGAACTTCATCCAATGTCATTGTTTTCGGGACTGCGTTCTTGCATATGTAGTTCACATAGGCTTCTCCCGCATTCTCACGTTCTGGGAGTGTCTGGGGATGACGGCTTATGTAGTCAGCCGGGTTTTGGTCATCTCGACCTGGACGATACTTCAGTGTCATCTCATAGGGCATGAGCCTCAGTCGCCATCTCTCCATACGTGCTGTTGCTGTTTTCAGACTGTTTACAATACCTAGCAAAGGTTTGTGATCTGTCAACACAGTGAATGAGGAGCCGTACAGGTAAAGGTGGAAATGTTCGACCCCGTACACTACTGCTAGCATTTCTCTGTCCGTCTGGGAGTAGCGCTGCTCAACATCGGTAAGGGCACGACTCGCATAGCAAATTACTTTACCCTTTTGCATCAGTATCGCCCCAAGCCCAACTGGACTTGCGTCAACTAGGATCTCCGTCTGCTCGGCAGGACTGAAATATGCCATAACATGAGCACCTGTCAGTGACATCTTGAGCTTGTTAAATGCCTGCTGTTCACGATCCGACCAACTCCATGCGGCATCCTTCTTTGTCAGCTGTCTCAATGGTTCCGTGAGTGTTGCGTACTCTGGAATGTATCGTGATACATATTGGGTCATACCCAAAAAGGAACGAATTTCACTGACACTTGTAGGAGCTGGAGAGTTCGCGATCGTCTTGATCTTGTCGGGATCGGCTGACATACCATTTCCTCCGAACACATGGCCAAAGAATGTCAGCTCTCTCACTGAGAAGATACATTTGTCACTGTTCAGCTTTGCTCCATTATCACTGAGCTTTCCCAATGTTGCTTGAAGGCTTGCATCATGATCCTCTTGTGTTTTCCCGTGAACAATAATGTCATCAGACAGNCTCTTCCTGAAGGTGGCACTGCCTCGCAATAAGTTCCTTCCTATACTAATTTTGAGAAGTTTGGGGTGCTTGCATATCGGCGTCTTCTCTTGATGAAAATGACCAAATGTCGACGTTAAGTACAAAAAAGAGTCCCAGGCACACACCTGTCCGTTTTGAGCGCATAAGCTTCGCCGAAAAACGCTATCTTGGCGGCCAATCGACCAGCGAGCGTGCGCTAGTTCCGTGTACGCCTACATTAACCTACAAAACGGAATGTGGCGCGATGCTGTATTTGATACCAAAGTCTTAATGTTTCTTTAGTCTCTTTCGCCTATTATTAGTAATAACTTTCTATAAATGCCGTTCAGATGCTCCACTACAACACACAAGTTCATACCACGATTGCCGATGTGCACAAACAAGAAAATAAAGCAACAAGCTCTATAAAGTTGAAAAACTCACTAAATTTTCACAATCGAAGTTAGCGAGATCGCGATTTGCTATGTGACAGTGCAGGGTTCATAGTAGTAAGACACCTGTTGAAATAAGGACTTATAAGACCCTTAATTTTCTGGAGGCCAAAATAAGACTTTTTTACGCGATTTCTAATAGATCACCGACTATTATAGTACACTAATAATATTAATATACACATTTCCACAGCAGATTTAATTATTCCAGCTTGTAAAAATGGTCCTTTGGCAAAAAACAAGGACTATTAAGTACTTTTCTAAGATTTCACCAAGGGCCCTTATTTTATTTTTGGCAAAATAAGTACTTATAAGACTTTGGAAGACCCGCTACGAACCCTGCAGTGCACTATACTCTTTTTTGGAAATAAATACATCTTTGACGCATGCCTTCTCTTGTAACCTATGCTGTAGAAAATGACATCTTAATTTCAAGTGTAACAAAAATATCAAGACATGATCGGTTTTTTATTTGCCAACCAGTCAAATTAAAATTTCGAAAATTAAAAGAAACATTAATTTTTATATATCATGAGCATGCAGCCGTGTGTGACAATCATTCCACTTTTGGATAGTACTTGAGAGTGTATAAGACTTGTAGTATTTGATCTGCAGTCCTTTATCGGGGAGTTCGTATCCATTTGATACCGATCATATCAGAAGTACATATTATCACTGATATTATACAATGTGTGGCTAATAATGTGCCTTATAAGTCTCCTAGTACAATACATATCATCCTATTAAATTAACGATTTATACTGAATAAACTCAACGTATCAGTAAGTAGTAAGTGTTGGTGTTGACAAACACGATTCCACAGTAGGCGAAATTATTCTGCCGAACCTAATGGCAAGAAAATAACTTGAGCGGAACTCAACGCATTTGCCGACGCACTAACCACGTCATCGCTTCTTCGTGTGCATGCTTCTTGCGTGACGCTGCAGCTTCTGCCCTGATCCGAACACCTTTAGACACACGCTGCACCTGTGCAGAACGCCTCTAGTGTGTTCCTCCCGCATGTGCGCGTATAGTTGTCCACGCTGCGGAAACGCGGCCGCGCACAGAGGACATCTGAAGGTCAGTGCAGTCGCGTGGGCGCGATAATGCATTTCAAGATTTCGGAAGGAGAGCAGCACGTTACCGCAAATCCTGCAGTGGAACTGCGCATCCGCCCGGTGGTCGTGTCTGTGGCGAGCGAGAGCGCCGTAACCCCCCAGTACGGTTTTGCCGCAGAATTCGCATTTGCATTCTGCCGACGCGCCGTCGGTCTCACCTCCTTCTGTCTCTGATTGAGAACTACCGAAGATGTTGCATCGGCCACTGATGCCTCGTTGTGGTGGTGTTGCTGCTAACGGTAACATTTTGTTGTGTGCCTGTGGAGATGTCATTACTGACGATAGCCTTGAATTAACTGGTTGTGGGGATAATACTCCTCGCTGAGGCGTTCTGACCCCTGTTGCCCTTGCTGTCGAACAGAATGGCTCTGTGTCCTCAAGTGATTGTGACAGGTCGACAATGTCCCACTCAGGTGCTGCGCATAGTTTTAGTTCAGCTCCATGTGACATTCTGCTGGATGGGAGGAAACAATTGCTCGTCTGTGGGAGGCCTGCTGCCTTTGCTGAAAAAACCTTTCCTAGAGGTGTCAATGATTCGGATTCTTCAGCCACGTGTTCCAACATGGGCAACATTGATAAAGATGCAACGGCCAATGATGAAACATGTTGTCGTGCATCAACCGAACATGGTGTGTTCTCAACCTTTGAGATACATGACAGTGCTTGTAATGGTGAGCTGCCAGCCTCTTCATAGGAATTTGCGCTGTTATCCAGCGACTTATCGTTACTGGCAATGTACTGAGAGCCAGACCTATCCACAAGCAGGCTACATAAAATTTGCTTTATCTCCCTGACATCTGCTCTCAGCATCTGAACAGTATTTGTAAGATCTTCTACTTTATTTTTCGCTGGATCCTCTTGGTCAACATCAGCAACATTTTGCATTGAACAGGGCAACAAACCAGAGAGCTGCGAACCACGCAACTTTGACCTGTGCAGTAATCTGATCAGCCTTTGTTTCTCTCGTTGCTTTTGATATGACAGCGGTCTCTTTGAGTGAGGATTAGAAATGTGTCTGTGACTGTATGACAGTGCGTTAACTTCTAATTTTGTGGCTATGGGCACACACGGAGCAACATACTGAGAATTGGCCAAGTTTGTTTCTGTAAGTGTAACTACATGAGGAGCTACATACTGTCCCCTAGCCAGACTTATGTCTGTGTCAACACACGAAGCTGCACAGTAACCAGTACCACTACTCCTATTCATAATCGAATAAGATACTGCAAGTTGACCATCTGTCAAATTCGTGTCCAAAACCTCATCAGTCAAGACATGGCCGGCTGGCGAATCGTTTGAAAACACGTCATCTGTGAATAGATTCCAATTAGTAAGCGGCTTGCCTGAAGTCTCCATAGATACGGAATAACCAGTATTCGAACTCCAGACACTCGGAACACTCGCAACATCGTCCGTCACAGATACAGTTCCTGCGTCCAACGTTGAGAAGCCTGAACGTGTGTCTGGCAGGAATTCGCTACCGCTGTGATTCATGACACGCGAAGAAGAAGAAAGTTTACATTCATTAATTGCATCATTGGCATGAATCGTTGACGAGCAGTATGGCTCCTCGTTGTTCCACATCAGATGCCTTCCGTCTAGTAAAGTTTCAGTGCTCGGTACGTTTGCAATTACAGACGGGTGGAACTCGATGTCTCGTAGATAGTGCGTGCTAGTGGAGGAATCCAGGAGGCTTTCACTTTCAGAATGCGCAACACTAACAGTAACAGTATTCAGTAAGGTTTGAGCTGAGCAGGATGCCGTGTCAGTGTCGCTGACATCATGCTAGCTGTGATAAACCAATTTGATGTGAGAATCCTCGGGCTCGTGGAGAGAGGCGTCAAGCTTGCTCTCATCATAGAAATAGAAATAACATACTTAGCCTAGTTATTTATATCTTTTATGTATGTGGCTTTCACAAGACTAAGTAGACTGCTATGCACACAGAAATAAAACAAGTGAACATTTTATGATATCTACTAAATAATGCTTGTTTAGTAGATTAATAATTTTTTATAATTACACAATTTCGAAAACGTTTAAAAAAATTGCAGAAAAAGTCAAAAATATTGTGATACATATTGTGAGTGACATTAGCAAGGTAAATCGTAAAACTCATGTTCTATTTTGTGCCACCAGGTTTCGCTATCGGCGGTCTTATTTGTTTGTTGTGTTTCGGGTTTCGTGAAGTCAGTACGCAATGCAATGAATATGATATTCGTGAATTTTAAGTTAATATAAAAATCCAACATACTAACATTCCGTTCTGACACCACTGCTTTGAAAGAGGTTCTTGCTTTAATATGGATCGGCAAGAGGGGGACACTAAGTACTGTGCAAACTGGTACGCAATTGCACTTCCTAGGCTAGGCTAGGCCTAGTTCATTCACGAAAGTAGCGGTTCCACAGGCACAGGCACTTGGAGCGTTTCAATAAAATATAATGCTTAATAATTACGAAATCTATTTACTACCAAAGTCTTAATGTTTCTCTACTCTCTTTCACCTATTATTGCCGACAATTTCCTGTAAATCCCGTCCAAATGTTCATCTGCAACACACTGTCACGCGCTGGCTGCTGCACGCTAGCTGCTGCACACTGACACATAAATATGACATATATTATGATATAAACATTACACTATAATATATTTATGTGTCAGTGTGCAGCAGCTAGCGTGCAGTGTACTTGTGTGTTGCAGACGAGCATTTGATCGGCATTTACAGGTGATTATACTTTATAGGCGAAATAGAGTACTAGTAGAGAAACATTAAGACTGGTAGTAAATACATTTCGTGTTTATTTACTTTTTTTTTCTATTGAGACGTTCCAAGTGCCTGTCAGCGGTCCCGCTTGGTAATCTTATGCTGCGTTTACACTATCGATTTTTGTCAGCAAATCGTACCGATTTTAAGTGCATTCCAACACAATCGGCTGAAATTCGACTGTGTTGGAGTCGGAGTCGGAATCAAGTCGCCGAGTTGGAGAAATAGAACGTGCACCAACTCGGCCTGACTCCGACTCCAACACAGTTGAATTTCAGCCGATTGTGTTGGAATGCACTTGAAAACGGTACGATTTGCTAACAAAAATCAGTAGTGTAAACGCAGCATTACTGCAGTAAATTAATAAAGTCTGTGGTACGATGGGAAAACGATATATGCTATATCGTCATCGTCCATTAAAATGACAGGCGTGATTAGAAAGCGTTTAACTTTAATCAACCCTGTGTATCACATCACATGCTTTATTGGTTTAAATTTCCTGGAAATCCTACAGTCTACACCAGTACTGTTTATACACCAGTAGTAATGCAGTATGCGTTTGTGTACATATTCTAACCCATGAGATAGGTTTATGGTTAGGTGTGTAAATACACAAGTGTAGCTGCACAAATTAAATTAAGCATGAATTAATGTGTTAGCACTGGAAACTGACAAAACTGTTACTTATTGACTTTGATAGCAAACGAGACATCACTGCTGCAAACTTCGAGCTGCATCAGATACACTGTCAGCGGAACTTGATACTCTGCCCAAAATGCAAGGAACCGGTGTCACGAAATCGTCAGAAAGAACACGAGGAACAGTTGCATGCACTCGTTACCTGTGTAGATTGCAGCGATCTCATTGAAATTGGAAAACTAGATAGTCACAAGGTTAGGTCCTGAATACTTTGAATGACTTTAGATCATACAAAATACAAGTAACTTTTTTAGCTCATTTTGACATCGTCAAGCTGAGCTATTGCCATGGGTCATCGTACGTCCGTCCGTCCGTCCGTCCGTCCGTCCTTCCGTTAACATTTGGCTATGGTCAACGATAACTCAGGAACCGTTTGACCCACATGTTTGAAATTGGGTATAGTTGTTACTGCTATGGGAGAGGTTTGAACGTCTTATTTTGGAGCACGCCAGTCGACGTACTTTCGAGCCACGGCAATTTTTTGGCAAAAATGGGAATTGCCTTTAGTCAGCTCAGGTTCAACGGATTTTGCTCATTTTTGGTATGTGAATGAATAAGGGCTAGGGGTTTTTGATATTTAAAAAAAATTATGCAAATTAGGTAGGTTTTGGCAATAATATAGCATATATATATAGACACGCAGATAAACAGTCTGTGGTGTCACACTCATCTAGTTTGTTTTACAAGATTTCATTGACAATATCTTTAATGCAAAATTGGTATTTCCTCTCCACCTTGCCGATAAAACGTCTATATTAGAGTAAAGTTTTACAAAACATGTCGGAACACAGCATAACCTATTTATTTCAACGCGCATCGCTAAGAAACATCAAAGCGGGTATAGCGCTATCTACCGTCACAAATTGTGATTCATTTTGTTTATAAATTATTATTGCGGATATACAGATGGCAACCGTGTGCTACCGCCTAGAAAAACTCATACGAAGTAAACACTTCCATGCAACCAATTAACTTTTGACAAAAGTTGTGTTATGGGCAGGGAAACACCATGTGGTATATAGCAGCTACGTGGAATAAGCGTATTCTTTCAACCTTACATGTTACACATCGGGAGCTCCGCTTTTATGCAGTACTTAAATCTGAATATTATAAAAACGTTAAATGGCGATCATTTAGGTGTAACGCCATCACTCGCCCACATCTCAGACTTTCATATCTCAAACATTTATTTTCACATAAAAAATTACACATATAATTATCAAGAGTATATAATTGGGAGTTCTCCATATATATCTCTCGTTCTATAATGTACATCGATGGTTGCTCGATTAAAACTGACTTCTTCTCACTCACTCATTATTTTGTGTCCTTTTTTGTGGTGAGCTACAGTGTCATCAATTGACACTTTCATTCAATATAGTGTATATATATGCATGTATGTGGTAGAATATTTTCACAGTCAGACATATTTTTGGACAGGGAAACAATGCTGGACTTGTTATTCCACATGCTTGAAATGAAATTGTAAGCATCTTGATTTAGGGTACCCCGATGTTTAATAACTAAGATCTTCGCATTAACATTTTTGTACGCCACCCGCTGTAAATCTAATGATTATCGTGATTCTTATTCTGTGGCTATCATTACAGGATGAATGTCAAAAGCGATTAGTGGCATGCTGTTACTGTGACCTAGAAGTGCAAATGGACGATCTCGACGAACACGAGTCTGATTGCGGGGCGCGAACGGACGCGTGCGAGAAATGCGGACAGTACGTCATGAAGAAGGACTTCATCAAGCACGTCAGAGCCAACTGCAACTACCCGAAGACGGCCGCGACGCGAAGGTCTCTTGACGCCGTCGACGGCAACTTGTTCAACGTGCTCCACGACGAGCAGCTGATGGAGAACTACTACAACGAGTGCGTGATGGGCAAAGCCGCGCTCCTGTCGGCCGACACCGCGGAGGCGGACCAGCCGAACAACACGCGCAGACGCACGTGGAGCGGCAGGGGTTCCGTGCCCGTCGTAGACAACATCCACAGCGACGCGGAGCCAAGCGCGGCGGCGAAGGAGAAAAATATCAATCGCATACCGACGGTGGAGGCGTCCGCCTACTTTGGGAAACATATCGAGGATGACGTCAGAAATATCTTGCCCGGTTAGCTTCTAATGCCGTTCATTATACCGTACACAATCTATTATCCGAAATTCTGAAAACCGAAAAGCTCCGAAAACCGTAATTTTTGTGTGTGGAATTCGTCTGCACACCAAAGCTCGCATTTAGCGCCAAAACATGACCCGACGCGACCCATGCTGAATCAATCGTGTCTCAGCGCTCCTACCAGTCAGACGTGCCTTTGTTGCTTGCTGATATTCGGTTTTAGTACTGGCTAGCTGCTGAATATACGGTATGTTTATCTGTACTGTACTACCATTCCGAAATCCGAAAGATTCTGAGTTTTGAAACATGTCTGGTCACAAAGGTTTCGGATAATAGATTGTGTACTGTAGTAAAGCGATCATTGAGACATTTTAGGTGCTTTTGCAGGTTGTTATTACACGTAAATTACACTTCGAGGACGCGCTATAAAACAAATAGAGGTACAGTATATATATGTATATATTTTGTCTTGGTATACTTTCTAGATGTGCTGTTTTACTCTGAAGCAAAATTATTCTGTTTGTCATTGCTAGACTGCCAGAGATCTACAAATTTGGAAGCAGATGCTGCTTTGGCATGGCAACTAGCAACCCAATTAGATCTTGCAAGAGATTTGTACGATGACACGCATCTAGGAGGGCAGGAAGTGGATCAACACAATCTAGTGTCTCCTTCTACGCCATCGCCAAATGTATCTGATGATGGTAAGTGCAAAACAATTTCATGCTAAGCTGCCTAGGTTTAGGGTGAATTATGTATTTAGCTTTAGGTGAAGAGTTTTTAACAATGTGAGCTTTACAGCCAGGTATTGTGTCGCACTGTTCTTAATATCATGAGGAACGTGACTATTCGGAACAGATTTATAATTAATTGATTATCATTGATCAGTTATGTGGAGTGTGGGTGTTTGATATATTGTAGTAATTGACTGTTTAAGATGTAACATCACCCTTCTACGTATGTAATCACTCTAATCATAAAAGCATTTCATTATCTTAATTTATTTTTAAAGCCGCACTATACGCATCCAAACGCTAATTTCTCCAGTACTAGACTAGCAAATACTTTGTGTCATGCATAATCACACTACCTTATGACAAAATAAACTCTAGTTCCTCCCATTTCACTGCACGTTGTCTTATAAAAGGCATTTGAAAATACCTCCAATGTTGTTCAAATTCTCCGATGTTGTTGAGACTTTCGCGTTGCTCTGCCAAGCAACCATGGAGCGGTGCTGCGGTAAAGCGGTACGGGTCACGGTGTAGCAAAAATAAAAACATGTGACGTCACCTAACCGATTCTTGGTGAAATTGTTTGGCAAACAATTTAGCGTTGGCGTCAGATTACCAGATTTCGCACCTCTTTCTTGTGGGTTTTAAGCAAACGCACACTGAAATGGGAGGAACTAGAGTTTATTTTGCCATAAAGTAGTGTGATTATGCATGACACGAAGTATTTGCTAGTCTAGTACTGGAGAAATTAGCGTTTAGATGCGCATAGTGCGGCTTTAATATATTAATCATGCATGATCAGAACCATAATATCAGGAGTCTATCAATAGATTGATAGATCAATTGATAGACTTCTGATAATATATCTATGAAAGCCTGGTTGTGTTTGTGAGTTGTGTTAAGTTTTTGTGCTTCTACAGAGACAGGAGAACCTGCCCTTCCCTGTGAATTCTGTTGCGAACTGTTCCCATTTGATGACCTAATTCTTCACCAGGTGATACAAAATAGATAGCGACAGTGTGTTTGTTATTTTGTAGTGTAGTTAGTTATAAGTGTATATTTATGATATTAATGTGAAATTTCCAAAAAAAATTCTGTTATATTAAAATTTTAGTAACGCTAAGTATTTAAGTATTTAAGTATTAATAATTAATATTAATAATTATTAATTATTAATTAATAATTATAATTAAAAATTAATATTTAAATATTTAAGTATTGCTCTGAATTATTTAGAGTGGTGTATGTTAAGTTGCCATCGCACTGTAAAGTAATAGCAGCTCATGGAGAAGGCTGGTATGTATATTTTATTACTAGGTGTGCGCAAGTTCTGCTTAGTTGCTCAAGGTTTGTCTGCTTGCATGTTTCAGTCAGGATGCACACCAGACTTGGCTCAAAAATTTGTGAAATACCAGAAGGAAAAGGATAAAATGAGCCCACTAAACAACAAGATCAATAAAAGCTCCGTTCAAGCTGATCCCTGTATACTTGACAACCTGACGTATGGGCGAAGGTATTTAGCTTAACAATACAGGATTGTAGTGCAGTGCATTTGCTGTCAGTTATGTAGGTTTGGCAATAGATAATCATGCACATGCATGCATCACACATATATGTTATCAGTTTTACACAGTATATGTTACGAGTTGCTGTGCCATAATTGTGCATATATACCAGTAATATAAACTATTGCATATCGGATCTATTTTTTATTGAAGGTCAGATACAGAAGGTATCGTAAAGGATATCAACAACTCGATACCTTGTGAATTTTGCAACGAGCTATTCCCAGTGAACTGTTTACTGCAGCATGAGGTTGGTAACCATATCTGAATAGCTATATATACCTTTTTTAATATCTACTCAATGAAATTAATTGCCAGTGCATGAAATTATCAGATGCAAGTGCTAGTATCTATGTGATGCTTTATTTCATGACTGTCCATTTTTCTACAGATTCACAAGCCTAGGAATCAAAGAACCTGTGTGTAATCATGTTCTATGTGAAAGATGTAAGCAATTAAGTGGTAAGAGTAGATTGGGTCCAAATCATTTAAATGTGTTCTATTGTAACAGAACTTTAATCATCTTTGTGCAGACAGTGTGTCAGCATGTGGTCGGAGCGTTAGACTGTATACCATATTCCAAGCCAGTAAAGAAGAGCAGAAATGTGCCGATAGAGGAAGGGAGCTCCGTCTCACCTCCGCTTCGGAGGCGAGGTCAGCCAGATCCAGACGTGATGATCGCATCAGGCCTGGAGAATACCTCGCCACACTTACGTGGCAGCACTCAGAAGGTAAAACGAACCAGTTCAATGGCAGAGGTCGGAAATCGATTAAGAGAAAATAAGAAGAAGTCCAAATTTGTGCTCATTTGTTAATGAGACGTCAGCATTGTAGAAACTACGATGTCCAAGTGCGTCGTGTATCTGCCGGCGCAGGGTTTTGGGTGGTGTGGTTTTCTTTAGGTTGGCAGCATGCGTGAGAATCGTAGGAAAATTGCCAAGCTGTTCCATCGAGGGTCTGTCACATTATTTTTTTAGAAGGAGCTGATGCGCAGCTCATCTTTATCCATGGAGGAGCGACTGAATATAAGAAGCTCATCGCCTGCATCGCAGAAAGAGGGCACCACTGTACCCAGCATGCAGCGGAATAGGTCGTCCCCTGCGATAGACACAGCAGCAGACTTTCCGAACTCAATGGTAAGAGTGCATGCACCCCTGATTTGCATTGCTCTCGCGCATTGGTATGTGCATTTGCTACGCACCAGTTCATTTTCGCATTTTAGGATCGTGTCTAGAATTTACAATGGTACTCTTGCGTGAATATTTTGTATTCAAGACCGTTTATAGAAATTGACGCAAAGAAACCTCCATATCACTTCACATCGACAACACCCGCTTTTATTCAGCATATGGTTGCAGCTGAGAGCTGAGTCTGTCCGAGTGTTTGTCTTGATGAGATATAAACAGGTGTGAACATTGCGTAATTTTAGACCCGGGTATTGCTTGAAATATTGATGATTGAATAATTTCATCGAATCTCTATAGTTCACATGCTAATAAAGTTTATCTCGGTTAGATCCAAATTAAGTTAAAGGGATAGTAGACTCTAGGATTTTACTGCACTAGCTGAAACCCGCGCTACGCGCGGGCTTAGTGACTGTGATGCATGTGTTACCATGCAGTGCAGTAGTGTTATGTGTAAGGTGTTATATGGAGAGTTTAGTTGTTGCACATGTTTGTTTTTTATGGTTGAGATGTCAATACAAATACATGTGCAATCATGCTTACACGTAACACATAAACCACGAAATTTGAACGGCGCCATTGACACCTGCGACCGTGCTGCCACCCTGTAAAAGTTGCGCATTTGACAATTTATTTTGCACGTTACAGACCGAGGGCTAATCACAAAAGTGCAATTATATTTATACCTAAATGCTATTTAACCGAACGATATTCATTTTAGGGCAAATTTATCCATAATATAACTGAAACTATATGTCGTTTATAAGATATTACAATCCTTTTGCTTTTAAATGAATAAATAAGAAACACCCTCGGTCTGTAGCCCTTGGCTGGAAAGTGGTTTTGCGCAACTTATCAGATCGTGCGCTTTGAGTGGCGCTACCGTCGTTGTAATTAAACTGTAGTCGTTAGTTTTAAAACATTTTTTAATAATATTTCTAATGGTGATTGAACCATGAAACTTTTTATGTAGCGTAATTTTAACCTAAATTAACTGAAAATAACCCTAGAACCTAGAGTAAACGATCCCTTTAAAAAGTTAATTGGTTAACATATAAAGTTATTTTTTAACTTAATTTGGATCTAACTGAGATAAATTTTATTAGCATGCTTGACATATTGGTTCAGGTGAAGGCTCAACGCTCGCAGCCTGCCCGACTGAAGACCACTGTAAACAACACAAACCAGTCACGCCAGATGATGCTCGGTGTACAAAACCTACAGAAGGGCGACCAGTGCAGGCAGATGGACTCACAGAGCCAGCAGGAACAGGAAAATGCATCGACGTCACCAAAGCAGGTGAGTTATCAATTGACCTAGGGCTTATGTCCTCTGTGAAGTGGGTTTAGCATGAGCGTTAGAGTAATTTTACATTCTGATCATCATTCACGACGTTTTTGTGTTTATGGCCTCACTTTTGTTAACGTAGATATTCAGTAGTACTCCCATACTCATGTAGTTTCTATATTCTAGCCCTAACCTTGTTAGTTATGAATTGGTATTGATCTCGCTCTGCCAACAGTCAGCAGCAGCTGCACAGCTGCCATCTAGAACAAACACTACAAACTCACTGATTGGATCATCCGAAAAGCGAAAGCAGAAGTCACAATCCAAAAAAGGTAAACAATATTTAATTTTGTCGTTTGAGTGTAAGCGCGATATTTCTCGCAAGATATTGAAGATGTGCAACTTATCCATCATACTACAATCTAGATGGGTAATCACTTGCACACCTTGCTGTTATTATATTATAACCGACTAGGTGTGTGGAGTTTTGTAGGTTACTAAATTATTCATTTTCTTTATTTCCCTCTTCCCCAGTGGCCAGCGTGCATGTGAAGCCAAACAACATGCAGGTGAAGGAGTCATTTTCGGGAGCAGAAGAACTTAATAGGACATCTCTGAACAGAACTAACATGGACAGAATTCGTAGCCCACCAACAGGTAATTAAAGTCTCATGTATCAAGATATGTATGTTATAGATTTGAAGCAACAATTAACACGTTCCCCTGTACTATTGTAATGGGATTGATTATCGCAGTAAATGACAACACATCTAGCTGATATTCTTCATAGCAAGAGTAGTTTGGCAATAAATTCTGGTCGACTGCTGTGAGATCGAGTAATTTAAAATGTACAATATTCAACGTATTTTGGGAAATCTGTGAATGATTGTGCTACTTGAATGATTGTGTACTTACTACTAATGCCTTCTGTTCTTGGTTTTGTTACATCCATTTGTGTCCATGTCTTCAGACCCATACTGTGGTGCCTTCTTCAAGATCATGATTGGCAACTGCTGGTCTCTGCACTAGTTCTTTCATGTAAATAATTATATTGGTATTGTGTACAGGAGCAAGACCCAAGCACCCAAAACCGCCAGAGGCAGCTGGTGTGGTGCACCCAAGCTCGGTGCATACTTACCCTGGTGGTAACACACTTGGTAGTGAAGCTAGCGCAATGCCATCTGGTGCAGCCACCGGTGCTGTGCCTAAACAAAAGGTGGGTAACAAAATAGGCCTGTGTTTCATGACAGTGGTTACGTGAAAGCATGTCAGATCATTTTAGTAGGCGTTTATTGGTCGGTATCATGCATTTACAGCACCAAACTGCTTTATAGTAATATCCGCTCTATACTAGGTTCCATATTATGATTTCCCGCATACACGTGTGTTCTGTCGTTATGTATTTATTGGCCATATTATTTGCCTGAAACACTATTCTGCAAAGAACAAATTTAACCAGTGCAATTCAACTAAGCGTTCAGACCATACGTGTGAAGACTGCATCTTTCACTGCAGGTGCAACAATTAAGAAACCAACACCGATGATCAGGGCTTGAACATTGAAACTCACAACAGTTTTCCACACAAAAACGTTTCTACAATAATTGCTTTTACTACCTATCTGCCAGTGCCAGATGAAATAATCCATAGAACCTTCTAGAGATCCACGATTTATAATAGCTTTTCGAATCATTCAATTTTCGATGAAACATGCTGATATTCGTCTTGTATTCTGTTTCATGCACACAGAAATCGTAAGGTCAATTGGTAAGCAATAAAGTTGTAGAATCTACCATTGGCATGTTTCGCCCACGTCCAGACACTAGTCCGTGTTATATCTGTCAAAATAAACGAGCTTTAGTCCCAGTTACTATATGAGTAGTGCATGACTATTTAGCAACCAGATACTATCTGTCATTAAAGTTCCTAGATGGTATTCTTGAGTGGGAATACCGTAAAGAATTTGAGAACGTTTGGTTGTGCTGCAGGTGGATTTGACTGCCAATTAATTATTTTAGGAGTCTGTAGCTGTTATGGCTGTCAGTCTGCCGCGTGTGAATGTACCGAGTATACGTGCATGTATGGCCACGAACGGTACATATATTCCCAAAGTTAGTCTCATGTGGGTGTTATACAGACGTTGCTCCACCCTACAAAGTTTACATGTATAGTGTTGTGTTGATTATGTAAAAAAAATTGTTGTAAACAATATTGTTGTACGATATGCCTTGAATTCCCAGATCATGCTGCTGAGAACAGCAAGGATAGTACGGTTTTGAAGTAAAGCGTATATATTTGTGATGTTCTCTGTTAGAATCGACTGTCAACTAATTTAATGACTCGCCCTGTGAAAAGTGTCGGTGCCACACTCACACACGCACACCCAGTCACACACACAAACACGCACGCACGCACGCACACACACACAAACACGCACGCACGCACGCACACATACACACCGGTTGTTGCGAAAGCAGTAACAGACCTGTCTTTTTTAGCTCATCTGACGTAGTCGGGTGCAGCTTGTAGAATCGCATGATTGTCCGTCCGGCCATCCGTGCGTGCGTGCGTCCGTCAACAGTTGGGCACAAATCTTAACTGCTCAACGTACGGTCACGAAATTCGGGACGTGGGGGGGTAATCTGAAAACGAGTTGGGATGTCGAAGCTGGGGGTCAAAGGTCAAAGGTCAAGAGGTGTAAAAGAAGGGGGAACATTCACTCCTTAACTTAAGGTATAGGGAGGAAATGCATAATTGCGGCACAAATCTAAACGGCTCGACCTAGGCTCGTGATAGTCGGTGTATAGCATCATGGTAGGAAAAGCCATCACTGTGCCGAAATTGGAGGTCACAGGTCAAAGGTCAATGGGCACAGGGCCGATTTTAGACATTTTCTGAGGACATGGTCTGACGGAGCGATTGAAAAACTTTTTTGTTTCAGCGGTGACCTAGCATTTTTATGGCTTTATTGAAAGGACCATGAAATGTCCTTTCTGCTGACATGCAAAGAGTAAGTGTCGGATAACCTTTTGACCCTCAAGAGGAGGGTTAAACATGAATTTGTTTACTGTTAGAAAGAATTTGATTGCCGGGTTTGCTAGTATAATCTATACATGCCTGGATGTATGAGGCTACAATGTCAGTAAAATTTCAAAAGCTAAATTTGGTTGAAGGTTTATGCTCCTTAAATCGTATAATTTCTATGGCATTCTGTACTGTCAGTGTGTTACATGTAACTTATGCCACTGCCAGTGCATGTGGTGGTGATAGTACTGTGTAGTTTTTGCCTGCGTTAATTAGTTACAGGTGGCAGCTCTCTATTTCAGCCTGTAGGCTTGCGTAGGTAAATGGATGAGTGCTTACCTATTCTGTCTTGCAAATAGTTGTTGCTACTACGTACGATGGGAGCTTCCATCTTTAATCTTAAGACACTTAAATGTATGCGCCATCTCGTGGCAACTTCCATAACGATCCCAACGAACATTCCTTCGAGAAGGTTCCTGATACCATCCCTGTGCCTTCCACTGTTTCGGCGCATATGTGAACACATTTGGGACTAACAGGGTTTACTAGAATCACACCACTCCACCACAGAGTCACCGCAGTACACGCGAGATGAGCGCTGTCGCTCCGCGGCACTTGTTTTATATAATCAGAATATTTTTTAAGTAGTATAAAATAGAAATGTTCAAAAGAAATTTATGCTTTGCTTTATGCATGGATATCTATCAGAAGTAGATAATAGGGAATTCCCTATTATCTACTCCTGATATCTATGTTAAAAAGAAAATGAAACCACTGGAAATCTCATGCTAGATTCAGTAATAAACTTGATGTTGAACCTAGATGCATTAAGTTTTCATTTTTTCCATGCATACATTTGTGCTCAAAGTAATGTTTTACATTGTGAACAGGCCTGGCTGGAACTGATGGCATGCGTTTAAAAGTCAGCATTTCAAAGATTGTAAGTAGAACCGCATTGATACGAAAATGTATATAACTATTATAAATGTATTCTAGCAATAATATCATAAAATGTAGAAATAGAAAGATGCCATGAAAGTAAGAACAGTGACGTAGTGTTGTATGTTGAATGAAAAATAGGAAACTTCACAAACCGCAGAAGCTACTCAAATTAACAAGTCGATACAGCAACACTAAAAACTTAATGAATATCTGAAATGAATCAACAACTTCCTTTACTTAAAAGTTCATTACATTTGCAGGCATGTGTGCACACACCTGGCAGTAATCTCATTGGATAAGCCCTTACGTAGACCTGGCTAGGAAAAATTAGATATTATTTATTGTAATAATTCAGCATTATTTAAACAACACTCATCATTCTTAATAGAAGCAGGGTTCTCCCCAGTTTGACATCCATCCCTTTAAGCTAATTTGGGACATCCCATAAATCCCCCAACATGTCTTAATTTTTAGCTCATCTGACATAGTCAGATGCAGCTTGTAGAATCGCTTGATCGTCCGTCCGTCCGTCCGTCCGGTCGGTCGTCCGTCAACATTGCAGGCCACAAATCTAACGCTCGCGTACGTCACGGTATTCGGCCGCACACTTGGGGGATCGTCAAAACGAGTTGGGATGTCGAAGCTGGGGGTGTCAAAGGTCAAAGTCAAGAGGTGTAAAAGAAGGGGGAACATTCACTCCTCTAACTTAAGGTATAGGGAGAAATGCATAGTTGCCGGCACAAATCTAAACGGCTCGACCTAGGCTCGTGATAGTCGGTGTATAGCATCATGGTAGGAAAAGCATCACTGTGCCGAAATTGGAGTCACAGGTCAAAGGTCAATGGCACAGGGCAGATTTTAACATTTCTGAGGACATGGTCTGACGAGACGATTGAAAAACTTTTTTGTTCAGCGGTGACCTAGCATTTTTATTGCTTATATGAAAGGACCATGAAATGTCCCTTCTGCTGACATGCGAAGAGTAAGTGTCGATAACCTTTTGCCCTCAAGGGAGGGTTAAACATGGATTTTTGACTGTTAACAAAGGAGTGAACTGCTTTGCTATTAGAGCCCCTCCCCCTTCCCTCCCCCCGCCCCTTCCCCCACCCTTTTCCACCCCCTCCCACCCTCCATCTGCGATAGTGGGCGTGTCCTAACAATGATGTGTACGCAACTGCGTGTCTGCATATCTGCGCCTAACAAATGTGGTACTACGCACGACTGAAATTTTACGTTTATAATCGTAGCAACAGACCTCAGATGAGCCCAGACGCTCTGCGGCTCTTGTTAGCCATTTACTTTTGACAAGCCTAACACAGTCACCCTATGTTTCGTTAGCTTGAGATATACGTCTCCAAACTGTTTACTCGCGTATTGGGGCTGCTTATGACATGCTTAATTGACTGCAATTAGTGCAACCCCCTCCTGGGCCTCTCCCATTCATCTATAAACAACATGCCTTCTGAAATTCCTAGGGAGAACCCTGAAACAGATGCATCTCCATTAATCATAGATATGACTAAATTTTGAGAGCAGTAAAAGCAATTGCTACATTGAAATATCGCAATAACTATAAGAATCTTTGGCATTGAAACTGTAATAAAGAATTTATCAAGAGCAAACTGGAAGAAATTTCATTTACAAGTGCATGAGACTACCGTTATTTATGCACTGTAACAAAACACTATATTATCTAATATAATATAATAATCTCACCTAAAATGACAAAATATTACATCTGGAGTTTATAATATACTCAGTAGAAGTAAACATCATACACAGGCATACGCAGACGTGCAACATTGTCCTCTTCAAGCATTAAACTGGTCTAGTTCAAACATTAACATTTCATACAATTATATAACCCGATTTCATATTGGAATACAAAGTATGTACATCAGTCACGAAATATTTACTCATTTATAAAATGTACATAAGATTATGAAAAAGACCTTTTCACAGCAACAGCTGGCAGCGTCCATGTAACAGCAGTCATAGACGACACATGCAATCACAAAGATAACTCTGTTGGCAAACATTACTGGCAAAATACTAGAATCTATGTACAATATAGTTTTCCAAATATTTAGCAGTAAATCACACCCAGATGAGACGTCATTCTTATAGTAGGAGATTACATTTTCCCAATAAATATTGAATCAGTTTCCAGCTCAAACAAAGCGCTGACATCCACACCATACCTCTCAATACTATATTATATTAAGTCGACCACATCCAGCACTAGATATTAACCTTACTGCACTGGTTATAATTCTATTTTCATTGTATGTGCTTGGAGTTGCACTATGATGAGAAGAACAGATCATAATATAGTTTCTAGTGTATTCACATTTAGAATGCACATTTGAGAAGGAAATATTTTATAACATATATACCACCTAAGAAGAGAACTTTTCGATTTTTGCACCTTGGTGATTTTTAGGTACATACATTGCCAAATAGCAAACACATCTGGCATGATATATTTGAGAGTATATGCGACTATTAACATAACCACCACCCAAAACGTTGTTCAGATTTCTAGCTTGAATATACACAGAGGTATATGCCACGAAGTACTATTTGCATGTTAAAAAAGAAAACATAAATTATGCCGTTAAATAGGCTTATACTTATAGAATAAAATCTTGAGACTATTCTACACCAGCGGTTCTTTGGATTTCAATGGTCAGGATTGGGCATAATGTCATACGTACATAGCACCTTGACCAAAAATAAACAAATATTAAAAAAAGCCATATGAATAAACTTGAGGATGGAGCAGCTGGGAAGGAGATAGTGAATTCGTTTCCAATTCACTATGTGACTACAGACCACAGTCAGCCACTAATCGGTCATAGTCATCTTTGTATCACATGTCAGCAGACAGAAGCGATCACTTAAAAGCGGGAAGATGGTATAGGTTGTATCCTGGTTTGTTGGTCATCGCCATGTAGATATAAACCACATGATACACTGTAAAAACAAAAAAGCATTTTGGTCAGATTTAATAAGCATGCCAGTACATTCATCCTATCGACGATGACAGAAACTTTAGTACAAAAAACACGTTTTTTAAGTAAAATCATTGCAAAAGTTCCATTCTACAACCTACCTGCCTAATCACTGTTTCATACGGAAAGTGAAATTATATAGATAACACTCACAAATCTTGTGTAAACACCTGTTTTAAAACCCATTGTTCTCATATTCTTTTGCTAGTGGCCCTTATTTTAAATGGTTCTATAGCCCAATTTCCAGGTTTTAATTCATAATCACTTTCACTGACCCTATAATGTCACTCCTACGGCAGGTCCTTATACACTGCATGAGATTGTGTAAAAACTACTTCTCCCCACACCGCTTACAGATTTCTTACCTCCTGGAATAAAGCATATGGTGCCAAGAACAAAGAAAACAACGCTCTGAGCTGTGCTGTGCGTATATGCAGCCGCGTAGACACCGCCACAAAATAACCCTGAAAGAGCAGCATGATATACCAAATGTTGATAGGTTAACTTCTGATAATTATATAGATGTTGTTACGCATGTGCATATATGCAGTAGCTGACACACCAGGTATCAAACTATAAACTCTATTTATAATGCAATTGATATAAAAGAAGCATTTTGGCAAAAAATGAAAGTAGGCATAAAAGGTAAATGGCTTAAATGTTATTTTGTTTTTTGGCTATAAACCTCTGTATGAATATGTTACTCTATTTTATTATTTTATGTTTATACACTAATTTCTGTAGTGTACTAACCTATACCAGCTAGAAACAGGAGTATAGACCCAACTACAAATTTCCAGTGTTCACGTAATTTCGGATGGTGCAACCAGCTGCATAGAAAACAAACAAAACACTAACTTTACAACAGCCAAAAAGGTATACATGGCTATGACAGCGTTCGTCTAAACATATTGTTTCAGATACAATTCACTTTTATTTTGATGTAATTTGTCAAAAATTCACAACGTACAGCTTAGATGTTTTTATTAAATTACAATTCTTCACAAATGATATATGCATTTGCATGAAATATAGCAACTGCATATAGAGAATAATGATACATATTTTCCAGAACAAACCAAATACAATTTTCATTGTAGTTGATTCATTATTGATTGTACAATTTGAAAAGGATACCAAGAATTTAAAGTCATCTTTTCACAAATATATTCTAAGTGTACTGAAAACCCAATTTTTATACATCAGTAAATTAGAAAATATTATAAAAAACAGCAATGGTTTATGTAAAGTACAGCATCTTAATATGGGTTATTATGATTCTTCCTTAAATCATTGAAAGTGTCCACATAACTATATCACCTGGCATAAGAGTCAATTGATTTAGCTCCTTCAGATGTTTCTGTGCTACATGTACTTGAAAACCTTCTCTGTGATTGTCTGAAATGAATGGCCGATATAAAAGATTATTACAAGTGAATATTTACTAAGTTTTTAATTGCTTTATTTTTTCAACTTGACTTAGATATTGAGCAGCGACATAAGATACACACATGAACACAGACACGCAGGCACACACGCATGCGCACGGGCGCGCGCGAGCACGCACGCACGTCAGGGGTGGATCTAGGTTTTTATTAAAGGGGGGGTTAATTTACCCGAGGTGATTGGCCTACACACCCCAGCGTGCCGAAGGCACGCCTTGCTAGGGGGGTCCGGGGCAGCCCAAGGGGGGGGGGGGTTTAAACCCCCCCCCCCGTAGATCCGCCACTGCACGCACACACACATATTTATTTATCTCTTTGTTTATTTATTTATATAGTCTGATAAATATCTGATAAACATCACCTAACATGGTAAGCAGTAGGGTCTTGTACTGGAGAATGGTGCTCAGAATTAATTAGAGACTCTTTTCCACCTTCCTCCACACTCTGTCAGAGGAAACAAACTTTAAATTAAAACATCGGTGTCATGCAGAAGTATAACAAACCAATTACTATCGCTTGAAAATTTCACAAATCTGATGTTTGAGGTATTGAATGACCACAACTACTGAGCAGTTTGCTATTTTTAAAGTTGTGAAAACTTGACCTGCTGTTAGAACATTGAGCATTTTATTCTCAACAAGATTCACACTGGTTTATAATTGTGATTACTTCAGGCTAAACAATATATATGTCTACCTAAGTGTGACCGTCTGTGTTCTGAGTGTTTAAATGGTACATGGATAGTGCAACCAGCCTACTAATCGCTTGGGCTAAAGGCTTGGCTAAATACTAGGGCTTGAGAGTCAGGGTTGGACTTAACCGGACCCGTTCATCTCTTGCAGTATAGGCTATAATGGGTTACATCATGATAAGACAATCATATATTATCTAATCCGTTCTGTTGCGTGTTGGCGTTGTTGATGTTTGAAGTTTTAAATTTAACCCCACAACACCTAATCACCTTAACTGCTTTGACGCTGTAATGCCTAACGATTCGACTTTGTTATGATCAACCTCCGTGATTAAGCCGAAAGTTCCTGTAATAATTCCTAATTTGAACTATTGACTAATGAAAGTACTAAAAAGTAGTGACTGTATTTCTCCCGGTATATTTGAGTGTAGATACAATAATGTAACCCAACAAGAGTAGGGTTACAAGTAGGTTCTTTTCTTTGGAGGAGCCCCTGAGTGATTCACTCAGGGCGGTTTTATGGTGCGTTTTTCAAGACTAGAACTTCCAAACTGGGTTTATTCTAAACACAAACCTTTTTCCGCTATCCTTGGGCTTACTATGTATCACAATACTCTGTATTAAACTAATGTAACCTGTTACAAAATTTCGAAGTGACGAGCGGCAATATATTTCGAGCACCATTTCTGTTGACCTGTGACGTACGCATTCCCAATGCATATAGCGTTCGGCTCCAAGATCGAATGCATCATGGGATGCCTGCTGTCAGTTATGACATCACCAGAGCCAGCATGTCAGGCAACACAGGAGCCGAAGGTAGCAGAATGCTATGCGCATTGGGAATGCGTACGTCAAATGTCAACAGAAATGGCGCTCCAAATATCGCCGCTCATCACTTTTAAATTTTGTAACAGGTTATATTACTATTACTATTACTATTAGTAATAGTTTAATACAGTATTACAGAGTATTGTGATACATACACACAGTAACATAGTATTATTTTAGTAAGTCCCAGGATAGCGGAGAAAGGTTCGTGTTTAGAATAAACCCAGTTTGGAAGTTATAGTCTCGAAAAACGCACCATAAAACCGTCCTGAGTGAATCACTCAGGGGCACCTCCAAAGAAAAGAATAGGCTCGCGTTGTAACCCTACTCTTGTTGGGTTACATTATTCAATAGGGCCTATTGATTATTGTATCTAATTTGAGTGGAGTTTGTTGACAGATTCTACCTTGTAACTTCTCGCTGTGATTGAATCTGCATCACGTGTTTTTAGACTCATATTACTCGGTGACTTCCCCGGTGTCAGAGGTCTGCTTTCTGATGTAGTTCCATATGTTCTAATAGGATCGTCATCATCAGATTCGAAAGCTTGATCAACAAAATTCCCCTGTTTCGCCATTTGTGCTATTAGCGACCGCGCACATTTTCTTTGCGCATGTCGCTTACGGTACAAAAATAATACTTAGCTATACAAATATAGTTTAATCAGTTACAAACATTTAGTTGTATTATATATTTCTTAAATTAAAACAGGAATATATGAATAATAATTATTACCGTTGTATTTAGTGAAACCATTTCGATGTCAAATTTGTACAATTTATTCATAACTGCGGCGACACCGGGTTGTGCTTTCACTTTCACTCGATTTCTGCGATCTCTTGATCTTGCAACCTTCTTGTCCTTACTGTACCTGTAAAACGCAAAGATGCCTTGCCTTGTCATTAAAACAAATGTTACGAAGGTTCCAGATAACTTCCTGGCGGAGACAAGCAGCTTGGTTGCCTCATTACTCGGAAAGCCTGAATCGGTAAGGTCGTAGGCCTGTCACTATCAGTATCAGTATCATTATCACTGTATCACTAAGTCTAATATCAGGAGCGTATAATACTAATACTAATACTAATAGTAATAGTATTAATAGTAATAATACCCCCTATCTCAGGTGAGCTCTCATTCCAACCGTAGTGACGTTAGTGTAGCGTGTGGAACTGTCGAACCAGTTTACACTACGCAGTGTAGCGTTCAGTGATCGAGGGGAACTAGGGCCCAGGGGGAAATATTTTTACATTTCAAAATTAAATAAATTTATCCCGGGATTTGTCATTTGATAAAGTTTTCTATGATATTCAAGATGAAAGAGAGAGAAAAACACCCCCTTTTGAAAGAAATCTCCGGGTGAAAAGTCCAATACACCCCTTTTTTTACAACGCAGTGGCTACGGGTACGGTAGCTGTCGGTCGTTGGAGCCCCTTTTTGGCGTTAGGGTTAGGATTAGGTTTAGGTTTAGGGTTATGGTTAGGGTTAAGGTTAGGGTTAGGGTTCTAGCTCATCTAAACTCTCAAATCGTGAATTTATTTCCCAAGGCATTATTTCGAAATCTGGCGCCACCGCAGCCATCTTTGTCTCGTTAAGTATGAAAGCGAATGGACTCCCGTATCCGTAGCCTCGAGACATTAAGATACGGCTACCGTACCCGTAGCCACTGCCTTTTTACAATTCTTGGGCCGGATTTTGTCGCGCGAAAAATACCCCTTTACCGGAGATTTTGGGAACGCGCATGCGGTCCCTCCGACCTCGGAGTGGGGGGCCGGGGTAATTTGTTGATGATTTCTTAACACTCATAGTCTGATACTAATGCTGAGTTCTGAATGCTGATGAATGATATTAGAGTCAGCGCATCAAAATTATGAATATATTTACAAAATCATGCTATGAAAAAGTAGCTCTGGCCAAGCCTAAATAGCTCCCGTAAAAAAAATTACGAGAGCTCTTTTTTTCATACAAAATCAAAAAAGAGCTCTCGTAAAAAAAAAATTTTTTTTAGGCTGTAACATATTATATAGACACAAACAGTCTCTGGTGTCACACTCGTCTGGTTCGTTTTACCAGACGTCCCAAGTCTCCCGGTCTCACCGGGAGACTCCCGGTATGACACGCTGCTCCCGGTGCCCCGGAATGAGGTCAGAAGCTCCCGGTCGTAACATTTTTCAGCCATATGAAAATTTACATTGGTAAATTACTAAATTTGCCGTTGTTGTTGATGTACTTTGATTCCAGCGAACAATAAAAGGCGATAAAACGATGATTTTACGTGTATACTTTATAAAAAATGGTGGTGTGCTGCGACAAACACATATCGCAGCCCGCCACAACTTTATTCCTATTTTTGCGCACTGCGAAAAAACGGCAATGGACCTGGCTCCCTTTCTTGGATTGCTGGGCCAATGCTGGCTCCCTTTCTTGGATTGCTGGCTCCCTTTCTTGGACTTTCCCAACTTGGGACCTCTGGTTTTACAAGATTTCATTGACAATATCTTTAATGCAAAATTGGTATTTCCTTTCTACCCTAGCTGCCGATAAAACGTCTATATTACTATTAGAGTAAAGTTTTACAAAACATGTCGGAACGCAGCATAACCTATTTATTTCAAACGGCATCGCTACAAAGCGGGTATAGCGCCATCTACGGTCACAAATTGTGATTCATTTTGGTTTATAAATTATTATTGCGATATACAGATGGCAATCGTTTCTATAATGTACGTCGATGGTTGCAAGAACAAGTTCGCACCTGCAGCTACAGCACACACGCATCTATTGACTATATATAACAATGTTATATATAGTTGTTATAGTAGTTATAGTTGTTATAGTAGCTATAGTTGTTATAGTAGTTATATATAACTATATATAATGTTGTTATATATAGTCAATAGACGCGTGTGTGTTGTAGCTGCAGGTGCGTACTTGTTCTTGCTGCCAGTGATTCGACCAGGCCCTCGGACCCCCCTAGGTTCCCCTCCCCTTCCCCCTCCCCCTTCCCCCTCCCTTCCCCCTCCCCCTCACCCTGTTTCAATTTCATCCTGGGGAGAACCCTGATTTGGAACATTATGAATTCAAATGTATTTTGATCTCTACTCTGGAAAAGCGTAGGCTTGCAAGGCTGGTCTGAAACCTCCGTCTATAACAAACAAACCATACATAGGTTAGCAATCGTCAGAATTAGGGGACTATCCATGGCTGATAGCTGCATAGGTAGGACACGCAAAGTTCAATAGTGCTTGCATGTCATCTAATTACCATGATTTGCCTCATGTTGAGTAAGATTGTCTGCTTTTACAGCTTTTCTTGCTGATGGTATGAGCAAGTTAATAGTAATATTATAAATTCTATATTTTAATTTTTAGAGTGGGATATAATTAAGGAAAACTATTTCTAAATCGTTTAGCTTCAACTGATGGTCTTATTAATGTCTGCTCACTACATTTTGGCATTGCCATGGTTGGCATAGGTTCCAGACTTTTCCTATGTTTCTGCTCACCTGCATTCCTGTTTATGAGTGCATAGCCGAGTGTCTATAAATAGATTGTTGCCACTGATACGATACTCGAGGCGGCGAGGCAGCGCTGAAGCTTGTTTGTATGAGTAGGTACACTTCCTGCGTGTATCAGTGTCAATAATTATAGCTATTTTGCAAGTTATTCACAGATTATATGCTTAAACATTGCATTTCCCACACAAGGCACCACTAACACTACATTGTGAGGTCAAAAACGGGTATCTAAGAAGGAGATTTGTATAAGTTACTAAACGAAATACAACTCATTACTTGGCAAATTTAAGCTAGGAAAAATTCGCCGCTCGTAAGAATGGTTTGCATTTTGCCGATTTAGCAAATGACATCTGGAAACCTCTCTGTCTTGAAATTTTTTTACGGCCTAGTGTGTCGCCAGTTGCCTGGTACTTTAATTATAGCTACTGGTACTCACTCATCCTGCAATGTTATCAAGAGTGCATAATAGAGAAGAGTATGACACGGTTTTAACAGCGTTTTGCATAGTTTTCAACTTGTAAATACTCTATCAATATGTGAATAAATATATTCAAACTTTACCTTGTTTTCATCTATGATTCTCCCTTAATCATATGACACCACCAATTTACCTGAAAATTATGTGTTCTTCAAAAAAGTTATTTGAATACGACACGGTTTCCCACAGTTTTCACGCATGGACGTATGTTTTAGACTGAACTTTCTTATGGGATTAGTGTTCTATTGTCTATGACGGTACGTTGGGGGCCGTAAGGGAATCAGCTGCTAGCTAGCTGGCCGTGAGCACATTTATTTTTAGCATGCTGGAAACGCTGCAGGCTGAATACACTTCGATGCCTAATATCCCATACGGCCCCCAAAGTTCCGTCATAGACAATAGAACACTAATCCCATAAGAAAGTTCAGTCTAAAACATGCGTCCATGCATGAAAACTGTGGGAAACCGTGTCGTATTCAAATGACTTTTTTGAAGAACACATACGATTTTCAGGTAAATTGGTGGTGTCATATGATTAAGGGAGAATCATAGACGAAAACAAGGTAAAGTTTGAATATATTTATTCACATATTGATAGAGTATTTACAAGTTGAAAACAATGCAAAACGCTGTTAAAACCGTGTCATACTCTTCTCTATTATGCACTCTTGATGTTATGTATGCCATAGCACGGTCTGACCACCGATGCTATATAGGTAACGTAGCTATGAGGCAACTATTGGATGAGCAGCTGCTTCTATTATTTTAAATGCAATAAAAATGTATATATAATGAGCAGCTTGAAACGGAGACACCCCAATTCAGAAAATGTTAGTTTACAATAAGCTAGCAATAAATTTCCTTCAGATTCATTCAATCAGATTGCACTAGAATTCGCCATTTTGCTTCTTGAAATAGTGATGTTTGGTCACTGGCATGTCATCAGACACCCTACACTACTGTACCACTCCATGCAAAAAACTAGCTGTGTCCCTGGCAACTCAAAACGTATTTGTGAACTCTGTTGATAAAAATAGATGGTGATCAAGATGGCTTGGAAGTTACAAGTGTAAAAACTGTTCTGTGTATTTTGCTCATAGCTTTTTAAAAGTGCAATATGTTGAGTTTCTTTGACAATTTTATTCGCTAGAGTCTGATAACTAAGATTTATGAGCTCATCAGACACAAGTTAGGTGCAGCTAAGCTTAGAATGGCATGAGCATCCGTCTGTTCATCAACGACATGGGCACAAATCTAAATGCCTTGACGTATAGTGTTGATATTTGGGACATAGGGGGGCAATCAGAAAAGACGTGATGTCAGATCAGGAGGTCAAGGGTCAAAGATTAGAAACATGAAAGGAAGGGGAAATGTTTCCTCTTCAGGCCGCTTCCTACGTTGCGCAAACCGGGCGCGCCCGCCCCGTTTGGGGAAACTCCCCCTCCCCCCCATTTCAATCGTTGCGCCACGTTTAAATTACCTCTGCCCGATTAAATTCCACTACAATAAAAGTTTGACAGCGCGGGAATCGATCGTTTGTTGATGCTGCCATTTTGCGAGCAGTAACCAAAACACACTTGTGTGCTTCGCTGTGATTGGCTGGTCACC